GAAGACACCACGTTGTGGCTCCCTGTTAGTGACAGCTTGCTCATGACAGAGACCTCCTGATCTCCCATCCTCTTTCCATTGCATTCTGGGTAGCCCCCAGCCTTCCTGCCCCCCGGGTCCCAGGGCACAGATGAAAGCAGGCGTACAGGATGCAAGAGAGGACCCGGGCAAGGGCTGCAGCCGCTCAGGCTGGTGAGGGCTCAGAGGACAGGCTCTTCCTTTTCTGCTGAGCTGTGGGGTGGGCCTTCAGCAAGTCTGAGCTGGGGAGAGCATCCTGCTGTGGCTGCAGGACACGGCCGCCCACTCACCTCTCCAAGGAGGTGGGAGAGAACTGCAGGAGCCGCAGGGCACAGGGACCCCCGTGGGGACCCAGCCAGAGCTTGCTCCACCTCCAAGGACCGCACTAAGGACAGTGGCGGCAGAGGTGGCTTGGGATGCTGTGAGCTGCCTGCGTGTTTTCCAGGCATAATAAGAGGGAGCTAGGTAAGAATGGTGGGAGGGATGGTCCCGGCCTCTCAGATGCGATTCTCTGGGAGACAGAGCCACGTTAGTGTCCAGAGCGGAATGCAGCTGCTCAGGCCGGCCTGGCCCTGGCACCATGACATCAGGATTCCACCTTCTCTTCTCGCACAGAAGCCAAAACAAGATGATCTCTCTCCTACTCGGGAGGGAACTTAAATTCCACATGATATTGAGTATTTTCTCTGACCAGAACTTTTTTCCTAAGAAATATTCTCCTGTAATACAACTTACGGAAAAGCCCAAGAACCATGGGAACAAGGAGCCCTGTGGAGCCCCAAACCCTGCGGCCCCGCTGCAGACAGCTCTGAATCCTGGCTCTGCCGTTTACCTGCTGTGAGCCCCTGTGGATGTCACCAACCTCTCTGTGCACCACACAAGTCATCCACGATGAGGGCGGAACTCCCACTGATGGAGACCTCAGTGAACCCACCAGAAACCACCCAGAAGCCACTCGAGGTTCATCACAGCAGCAACTGGTCCAAGGTCATTGCTCTTGTCAGTAAGGAAAGTGGGACTGCAACAACAACAAAATGAAGCTACCGTGGACTAGCAGAGAGCCACCTGTATCTCCCCCAAAGAGCGCCCCAAGGAAGGATTGTTCCACCTCCTGGAACACCCAGAAAATAGTGACACACGCTTCCCATAATGGACCCTTTCCAGTCAAAGGTCAGGTGCTCATAACCACTATGAGGAACACAAGTGCAGACACACTTCATTACCCCGGCCTGGACTCAAAGGGACACAGCTGTTCTGCACGCCTGATTCACACTCTGCAGGAGGAGGAGGTCACAGCACGAGCTGGGGCCCTGAGGGTGACCAGAGGCAGAGAGACCTGGACACACTGTGGGAGGAACAGGAGGTGACCTGAGGGAGAGAGACCTGGACACACTGTGGGAGGAACAGGAGGTGACCTGAGGGAGAGAGACCTGGACACACTGTGGGAGGTACAGGAGGTGACCTGAGGTAGAGAGACCTGGACACACTGTGGGAGGAACAGGAGGTGACCTGAGGTAGAGAGACCTGGACACACTGTGGGGGATACAGGAGGTGACCTGAGGGAGAGAGACCTGGACACACTGTAGGGGATACAGGAGGTGACCTGAGGTAGAGAAACCTGGACATCCTCTGGGAGGGTGCAGAAGGTGACCTGAGGCAGAGAGGCCCTGAAATCTCTGTACAAAGGGGTGCAGACAGCACTCTTGACCCAGCTGTAGGATGAGCCCTGCATACAGTCTCTGCTCCTCACATCCACAGCCCGTGGTCAGCGGCCACATGAAGCCAAGTATCCTGCACTCTGCTTCCTCCCTTGCTCATGAGTGCACACCTGGCTAGGGGAGGCCAGCAGCATGGCCCAGGGCTGGCTGGCTGACTGCTATTTGCGGCAGGTCGCCTACCACCAGTCTTCCGGTAAGTTCAGTTTGAATCTGGGGCTACCCCAGGGGCCGACTTTGGTCCACTACTAGAAGCTGTCATTATAGTGACTTTCACACTAATCTGAGGACATAACCATTTAACCCTAAGCTCGGAGTCTCCCACACAGACCTGCTGCCTCTTGCTCTTCTGATGCACCTGCAGGAAGAAAGGTCTGGATTGATTGGTAAACACCCTGGAAGCACAGGCCTGGACATCAATTGAGGGCAGCTCCAGACATGACTAGAGCAGAAAACGCTGATCTTCTGGATTCTTCTGCTTCTCAGTTTGCAAAGCTCCAAGCACACACAGAGACTGAAGAGATACACGGGGAGCGGGAAAGCCTGGTGGCTCCTTGAACACACCAGGGGCCCCGTGTCATTCCGGCGTTTGCAGAAGCGTAGCAATCCGTGGCTCTCACACTCCTGTACACATTGGTCCTCTCAGAGGGCAACTCAGGCTGGTCCCAGCAGAATCCTGACTAAATGGACAGATTTAATAGTTTTAAATCTGCTTCCTCTTTAGATATGTCTTTTCACTCTATAATTTAATTGCGAAAAAAATTTAGAGACATTCCATTTTCATTTTAATTGGTTCACAAAATTAGAGTTCTATTTTTCATTAATAACTGCTCAAATCCATGGGAAGGAAAAACAGCCCAAATGCGTATTTCTGACTTCCTGCCTAACTGTGTATGAACACAGCAAAGTCAATGCCTCCGCTTCAGGACTGTGTGTTTCATGATCTCTTTCAACTAACAATGATGTAGCCCAACAACTTTTAATCATAAAAAATGAGTTTAAACATAGTTTTAAGATTGCCATTTTATTCAGCCTGAAACGCTTGCCCAACTGAAAGAAGTATGTGCACCTCCTCAACCCAATTTCCAGGTCTCTCAGGCCAGCGCTGCAGAGCACAGTATCTGACCACATGGCTGAAGAACTAAGGTCCTGGGTAAACACGGACAGTGTGGAGGCCCAGCCACCAGCCCCTCCCAGGAGCGCGGGTATCCACACGCCGGTCGTCTTTGTAAGCCCCAGCCATGTGCAGACGGACACTTCAGGGAGCAGCACCTCAGCCGGCTCCAGCTGTCCTTTGGAGGAACTGGATCGGGCTGTTCAGAAACTGGCCCCTCCAGCACATCAGGATCTCGGTGGCCAGAAACTTTTCCTCTGTCTGAGCCCGTGGGAGCAGGACCCGGCTGAGTGACGGAGCTGATGGGCTGCAGGAGTGGAGAAGACACAAACCAGTGCCCTGGCCGGGTCCCCTCTGCTCCAGTGCTCTGCAGAAGACTGCTCCTACTTGGGGGGCTTCTTTTCTGAGGAGAGACCTACAAAAAACAGCAGGCAGACGTTTCAGGTTAAACTCAGAATCACATTGTCCCCCCTCTGGCTTCGGGCCAGCATGCATTTCCAGGATGGCCAGAGAGAGAGCAAGAGGGACAGAGGTTCCATTCCTGAGCTCCCTGTGCACACTGGGATTCCAGGCAGGTGCCAGCTGCCTTCTTTGGCACTGGCACATGTTCACCGGGTTGTGACATTGGGTGGCCCAGCTCATGCCTAAGAAGGAATGTTCTGACGTCCTCCGGCGATGGCTTGGGCATTTCCCTAGGAAAGCGAGTCATTTCTATTGCTGCTAGAGTTGGGTCACGCCCCAGAGAAAGATCACTCTGGACAAAGGAAGGTATGTGTGTGGGTGAAGTGGCCCTGGGAAAGTGGGGCCCTGGCTCCCTGGGAAAGCCCCGGAGATGCAGGCAGTGCTGAAGAGGCACTGGGCTTCAGGAAGAGACGCGGAGACCTGGTAAGGGTTAGGAAGACAGTCGGGACCCTGCAGAGGACCTGACAGATACCCAAGGCCAGTGGCCATGTGAAGACAAGGGCAGAGGTTGGAGCTCTGCTGCCACAACCGTGGAACACCTGGGCCACCAGGAGCAGAAACAGAGTTGACTTTCGATGTGTCTCTACAGTGTTGTAAAATACCCACACACAGTAACTGAGCTCAGCTGGGAACTGTGACCAGAGGACCATGCTACATGGTACTCAGCACTCCTCCCCTCAGCCTGGCCAGGGACCCTCAGTGGACTCTGCCCCCTCAGGGGACCCTGCCCTGCCCTCTTCCAGCCACAGGGTCGGCACAGTGCCTGCGTCCTGTCTCTAGAAGGAGCTCTGGCATCCCTGCGGACCCCTGGGTGCCAGGGGAGCTCCTTGTAGCTGGTGAGGGGCACAGAGAGGAGGCTGGGCTGTGCAGCGAGGCTGTCCTCAAGTCCCGCTCAAGAGCCCACATGGTGGGAAGGAGGGACAGAGCAGCGGCCCCAGGCAGGAGGCCAAGCTCAGGTGTCCTGGGCCACCAGGTTCCGGCAGAGCTGAAACCAAGCATTCTAAATCGTCTCTGGGCAACTCCGGGTACTTTCCAGGTAGGAGGAAGGACTGTGCTCTACAGTTTCTAAGCTTGATTCATGATCAGGGCTCTCCGTCTGTCCCTGCACGAGGCCCAGGAAGGCTAGAAGAGGTTCCAATGGTACTGCAGAAATCAGCATGGATACCCACTGTCCCTTTAAAAATACACAGAGCTTCCTCTATCCCATTCCATGTAAAGAAAACAGCCACTGTTTTAGGTGGTCATAAGAGAAGTAATAACGGAAGATACTAGGATAAAAATACAACGGGAAGCATTTACTAGAGATGAGAAGGTGAACTCGCCAGTGGTCAGACAGTGAAAGGAAACAGAAGCGGGTGTCCTATCAGCGCAGCACACTCGTTAAGAAGGAGGGCTGCGGGCTGCATGGACAGCCAGAGGCCTGGGGTGTGAACTGCAGGTGCCCGCACGGGGCCGGCTCACCGTTGTCCTTGTGCTGCCCGTCTGGCGGAAGCAGGTCCAGAGCACACCTTGGAGGGCCCGGCTGCGAGGAGCGACAGAACATGGTTACAGCAACGGGACTTCAGCAGCACCCAGGATGCTGTGCCTCGTCCAGCAGGCCCCACCCGCGTGGTTCCCCCCAGACCTGTTGCCCTCGTGCCGCATCCGGGCCCTCCCTCCCCTGCCCACTGGTTCTGCCCCTCCTGATTCTGCTCTGCATTTGGCCAGAATTTCCATGACTCTGGGGTTTTCCTCTTTGGTTGGGGAACAGCTGAGTCTTGGATCTCTGCAGAAGTGAACACTTTGGTAAAACTCACCGTAGCCCACAAACAAAACAACGTGATTCACCATCAACAAATGCTCTTTTTAAAACCCGCACACTGGGAGCAATGAGAGGGCCAGGAATAAAAACACAAGCTTAAAGTTGTTAGTGGCTCAAGGCAGAGCTCCCAGGTGCTGTGGAGGGCAGAGCCGAAGAGCCCAGGAGGGTGGAGTGCGCAGGCCTCTCCCTCTGCACGGGTGCCTCCAGGAGTCGTTCTCTACGTTCTCAGGGTTTAGACCAAAGATGCTGAGATGTTTCTCTTGGAATTCTCGCCTAGGTTCTCACCAGGTAGAGCGGCTAGATATCGACCATCAGGGGCGCATCAAACGAATCAACTGAAGGAACAAAAAGCTGTGGACCTGGTGGAGCGTGGTCGTTCCCAGCCTTGGGAACGGAAGGCTGGGCTTCATCTGCCGGCCTGTGTTCCTGCTCCCAACACTCTCCTACCCCGACACCCCGTGGCACAAGAGACCACAGGCTGGGCTCCAGTTGTTTAGTCATCTGCTAAAAATACTTAATGGGAACTTTTTCATGGTCCCCGGTGGGGGCCATTCACAGGCTGCCAGTCCACTGAAGGTGGCCTGAGACTTCAGCTAAGGGACCCCACCGCCGGGCCTGGCCTGCTTCACCTGCTCCCCCACCTGGCCCCGGTGCCTCTGGCCCAGGAACGAGCAGGGAGAGGAAACGAGATCACCTCTGTCTTTGATCCCCTCGCTTACTCTGAGAGTCTCAAGAACAGGGTTAGGGTTAGTGACGTGTTCCCCGTTTTACACGCCAGGCAAGGTGCCCCAAGAAGGTAGACACGCTGCAACCCCACCACAGCAAGGCACGTGGCTCAGTGCAGCTCACAGTGAGCAGACAGGGGCACTCCTTTAAAATCAACAGGGTTTCCTCGAGCAGAGATCTGTTCGGTGGAACACGGTTTGACGGGGAAGGCGTCACACAGAGGACCCTGTCCCCACAAGAGCTGGGCCTGCCGCTGCGTGCCTCTTCTGACCGACGGGGGAGCCTGGGAGCCTCAGCTTTCTTTCCATTAAGGAGGATGGGACAGAAGCCCCTCTCTGCTCCCAGGTCAACGTGCAGGACCCTTGGTTCTACAGTTAGTCCGTCTGTCACGAGAACATTTCCCCAACCCCTACAGGTTCCGTCTCCTTCTGGTTCCCACAGTCGTGGTTTACTTCTACATCCCTGACAGGATGTGATCAGGAACGAGCGCCGACGACTAAGAACCCGGGTAATGAAGAGAACAGGACAGGGACAGGCAGTGGACAGAAGCAGCCGCGGCCTCCATGGGCAGAGGACCAAGTTCCCCTCAGGCTGCACCATGCCAGGCCACCGAGGGAGAGGTGCTCTGAGCCCTGACGTCTGCCCGCCCCCCCAGGGGTCACAGTCTCACCCCTTGGAAGAGGAGCCTGTTGTCCCCTGGGAGAGGACAGGCAGGACCCTTTCAGGAAGGTGGGGAACATGCTTTTGGTAAGGGCTGTGCTGAGAAAATGCCAATAAAAAGTCTCAGACTTTGGCATAATTAGAAACAGAGTTGATCGAAGCCAAGGGGTGGGGAGAGTGTCTGGGCACACAGAGAGCAGAGCAGGTGGCAGCCTTCCTGGATGGAGGCTCTGTGAGGAGAGCAGAGGCTGGCCTCCCTTCAGGGCAGTGGGCACCGCTCCAAGAACAAGGTGGGCCACTGCAGTCTGGCTCACTCAGGTGGACCATGCCAATCAACTCCACCCAGGTCCACTTCATCTTGCTGGGCACACACGGCCACGGGGGACAACTGAAGTGGGTCACCTCTTCCTGGATCTTTCAAGAAAATCCCCTCCACAGGGAAACGTCAAAAGCCATTCTGCACATATGTGGTGACAGCCACCGTAGCTCAACACGAGTTGGAAGCTGTCTCTCTGTTTTCTTTCTTCAGTTTTTGCTCCATCGACTTTGCTATTCTATACACACAGAAGCCCCCTGTGGCGTTGGGTAGGTGGTTGGAAGTGGCCCCTATAACAGGCTGTGTTTGCTCAAGGAATTGTGGCTCAATTGGAAATCTTGTGATTACTTTTTCATATCTATGTGTCCTGAGGATTCAGAGCCCAAAGAATCACCGCTGTGTCCATGCACCTCTGGAACTTGGCCAGTGGAGGCGAGGTGCAGTACAGCCCCCTTCTGCAGGAGACACGATGTGCCCCGATTCCAGAGACACACCCGGTCTCTACCAGAAGAGGACGCTGTCACGATTTGTTGAAGTAGGACCTCTTACTTACTGGATGCTCCCACTGGTCCTGCGTGGTGCGTGGGCCTGCTGGCACCCCCGGGTCCCGCAGGTGGAAAGCCAAGCCACAGGTGCAGGCCGGGAAGTGTATCTGGGGAGACAAAGCCATTGGTCTACTGGGAGGGGTGGAATGGGGTGTAACACGTGCTCTCTACAACAGGGATGGTCAGTCTTAAGGTGCAGCCCCATCTGTCATAATTAAGACCCAGAGCAGCGAGTCGGTCGACGAGGACTTGGGACTCACAGGACGAGGCTCCTTGCTAGCTAAGTCTTCCCTGAGGTGACACTGCAATTACTCCTCCATCTCGGAGAAATTAGGAGCCCTGGGGAAGCGCACACAGGGGACGCTGCTTCTGGGTGGTCTTCACAGAGACCTCCGTGAAGACCAGCCCGCCCTGACCCGGGGGGGAAAGGTCCCTCAACTGCAGGCAGCATCAGGAACTGAGAGGAAAAGAGTCAGTGTGGAAGGCTACTAGAGCATGGACACAGAAGGACTCAGGCCCAGGACGACCTTCCCTGTCTAGAGAGAACAAAGGCCTTTGTATTTCAGGTTTCCCACCACAAGAGGTGTGCGCAACTGCAGGAAAGGCCACGAGCACGCGTTTCCCAGGTGTGGTGGGTCTGGGGAGGAATCCTCGTTCTAACAGAAACACATGGAGGCTGGCACTACTGGTGACAGAGGCTGGCACTGCTGGTGACGGAGGCTGGCACTCCTGGTGACGGAGGCTGGCACTGCTGGTGACGGAGGCTGGCACTACAGGTAATGTGCTCTGAGAAGCATCTTTTTCAGGAATGCTGGGCTGAAAGGCTGGTGGTCCCTGCGCACTGTCCGCCCATGAGCAAGCCCAGCTGTGCCCAGGAGTAACTGAGTGGAACTTAAAGTTGCCATTTCACTGCTCCCAGGGCAGGGCAGCAGCCACATACCTGTTTTAGTTGTTTTTCTAGTTTTTCTTTCTCCATCTGACAAACTTTGATCTACAGAGAAAACACAGGCAGTTGGTTATCAGGAGGAGCTCGGGCCGTAGGGGAACCTGGGACCGGCCAGTGCAGGGCACAGGGAGCGGCTGAGCCAGCAAAGAGCTGTACTTGGGTTTCAGGCGTGCGTCTCCTCTGTCCTGAAATCCCCAGGGGAAAGCGAGGAAGCTGGGGAGTTTTAAAGTGTTTTCCAGTTTGTGGAGGCCCCCTGGTTCTCAGTCTCGGCTGACCTGTGCAGACCTAGATGTAGCAGCGTCTGGCTCACTGAATGAAACTGGCGTTGTTCAGCCGGCATTCAGGGCCTGGCTCCAGACCCCTCAGTGGCAGCCGGGGGGCACTCTGGTACGTGGCCAGTGCCTGAAGGATTGGATCTGAGGTCTCTGTTTAAAGTCCTACTCAGATCACATCCTACTCAGCCAAGGTTTCCCTTCATTGCACTGCGGCATTTAACCTGCTGCCGATCCTCTTAACATCGTCATCAAATCCTTCCCTGTGCCTTATCGAGTTCTATCATTGTTTAACCACAGTGAATGAGACTTTTTATTTCTTGTACCGGGGATGCAACCCAGGGGTGCTCTACCACTGAGCTACATCCCCAGCCCTTTTTATTTTTTATTTGAGACAGGGTCTCACTAAATTGCTGAGACTGGCTGCAAACTTGGAATCCTCCTGCCTCAGCCTCACCACCACACCTGGCTGAATGAGACTTAAAAAAAAAAAAAAAAAAAAGATTGGGCTATCATTGTTTTAAAAGAAAATTTTGATAGTTTTAACGTATCAGTTTCAAGATTGTTCCTTAGCTCATAAACACAATTATAGCATACTACTTGGACAATATATTTATTTTGCTGATGCGGGTCAAAATTGCTTTTTATAGATGCACAGGCACCAGAACTGCGTGTGGACTATGTTCTAAAATGTTAAGTAGATGGACTGTGTTCCTGGTTGAACTGAAAGTTCTAAAATGGAAAGTACATTGCCCATCTTGGGCACCAATTTATTGCCACTCTGAACTTTCTGGGGTTTGGTGCAGAGGAATCACTCTGAACTTAATAAAACAGAATAAATAAAATTGAAACATACCAGGAATAAAGCAATTTGTGCACTAACAAAGAAATCAAGGGGGCTTTGTTTGTAAGAAATAAAGATTGAAAGAGGAATTCTTCACCCAGTATAATCAGAACTTCTTCACCCATTGTTGTATAAATTATTTGTTGGGTTTCATGGATTACTTTCAGAAAATTAAAGAATTATACTTTTAATCCTACTAATTTCCTTTATAATTCCTTAATTTTATTCCTTTTAATTTTTTAGGAAATGGTTCTACCAAATAATTTTCCACATAAAATTAAGAATTTCAAGTTAATCCTTGAAAAAATATGAGAGAAGAAATCAGATGCCGTTCACTGTCCACGTGGCATTGGGCAGAAGAGGACCACTCCTTCAGAGACTGGAAGTCAGCAGCTAGCAGGCCTGCCCCATTTCCCCTTTACTGAAACCACGGCAGGGTTTTGCAAATCAAAAGCATGTGGTTATTTCAAAATCGCGTTGGCTACACTCTCCCTCCTTAACATCAGTGCTCACCCTCGCGGCAATGTCCGAGTCTACTTTTTCTCCTGTTACACCTAATTTTAGTTCACTTACAGTCTAGTCCATAAATGGCTTCCTGGAAAGGACTCTAGTCACATTCCCTCTGGGGCCCAGTGACCAGGGCCCTGGGTCTCAGCAGACATGTGCACGGCATGTTTTTAGAGGGCAGGGACATTCCAACACAGCCCTTCAAAGAAAGCGACAGGAATTTAGAAACCACTTCACTATATTTGAGTAGAAGGTAGTTCAACTCCCATTCTCCCAAGATAAATATTATGGGGAAAAGATCACAAGAACTGTATTTTATAAAAGACTTTGGAATCCAGTTTCTGGGGTCATTCCTCAACATACTCAAGATAAAAGAGATTTCAGACATTTTCATCTGCTTGCAAGGTCGTTAAGAGTGACTTCATCCCAGGTGTGGCCTCTCAAGAACCCAATGTCAACCGACAGAATTCAAAAGGCTTGAATACTTTTTAAATGAGAAAATAAAAATGAAACGCGTGTGCTTGGCCCAGGCCTCGCTGGGTGTGTACCTGGGAACTCAGCCTGGTCAGCTGGGCCCGGGAAGCTTGATGAGCCCGCCGCAGCTCTTCTTTCTCTCGACTGAGCCTTTCCCGATCGGATCGCTCCTTTCTGAAGTCTTCTTCATATATTTGTACCTGAAAGACACGTGGGTGCTGTGACTGTCATTCTTCTGTGCTCTTTGGCCATTCAAGCCATCTCTTCCCAGGTGCCTGCTGGGCTTCTGCAGTCGGGCACGCCCACCCTCTGCTCCTGACCCCTCTTCAGGGTGGGGTGGGGAAAGGCACAGGGCCGCAATTCATCCTTCACTCCTAGAGTGGAAGTCCTCGGATTTTTCCTTCTTGGGTGTGCATCAAGAATTCAGAAGGGACAAAGTGTAAATTCCTTAAAACTCCTGTGCCCACACTTCTGCCGGGTGCTCTGCTGTGCTGGAAGCCTGGCTGGCTTTAAGTGTCACCACTGGAGCAAGCCAACGCCTGCACAGGGCTCAAGCCTGAAGTTCTCAAAGTCAGTTTGCTGACAAGGGCTGTTCAGTGAAGCCACTAAGGACTGACATGCCAACAGTGAACACAGAAGCAAAGGCGGACAAATGTGGAAAATGTGACTGTTGAGAGGCAGCCTCAAGGTTCGTCCTTGTAAGCAGTTTTAGAGGTAGATGATAAAAAAGAAATATGTAAGATTTTATTGCAACACTTCATAAGAGATATTCCAAGTATTCCAGAAAAGTAATCAAGCAAATGAATTAATCATTTTTTTAAAAAACTGGCGTGATGTTGTCTGGTAGCTTGGAGACAAACATGTGAGGCTATAAAAATAAATGAAAGGTAGAGAATGAAGCAAAAGAATTCTTCTAAGACTGAGGTTTAAATCACTTCTACATGGAAACCTCTGAGCTGGACACGGCACCTTCAGATTCCAACCAGAGGTGCAGCCATCTAAAGCAGTCAGATGAAAGCCAGCAGGCAGGAGGGGAGATCCAGCACTGCATGTAGATTCTGGTGGAGATGCATATGCAAATGCAGACACACACACACGTGCACACACATGCACATATAGGTGTGTACATATGCACAAGCATGCACACATGTATACATGCAAATATACACAGCACACAATATATACATGAACATACAGCATGCACACACATACATGTATGCATACACATGCAAATATATACACAAGACACACATGTATACATGCACTCACATATGCCATGCATGCACACAAACATGCACATAGATAACATATGCGTGTACATGCATGTACATATATACAGGCAAACACATATATGTGTACGTAAGTGCGCACACCACACACATGCACACATAACGTACACATGTGCTTACATGTACACGTGCACACATGCAAAATGCAGACACATACAATACGCATGTACACACATGCAAGCATATACACACAGGCACAAGCATGTATGCACAGAAAAACTGCACACACATGTACACATACATATATGCACACATGCACACACACATACATAGCATGCACACACACATGCACATGTGTACATACATGCACACACAAATATATACACATAGATTTCATTTTTAAATCCTTATTCATCAGCCCCATTGCAAGGAAACTACATCCAGCCAAGCGACATTTTTATTTATTTTTTAGTCAAGAGCTGAGGCTCAGTTCTAGGCAGACAGAGCAGTTACTGGGGTGTTTTGAACGGGATAAGCCCGTGTAAAGAGAACTGAACATTCTAGCTAGCAGTGCCGTCACTTCAGTTCTGACTCAGATTCTCTGTGGATCTGAAACCTCGACTGCCCCGTGTGGCGCTTGGTGGGGTTGCAGTCATAGGTGCTGACTTAGAAGTGGGTTTGGTCAAAATGTATGTGCAGAACATCACACACTCTCCCTAGTGCCAACGAAGGGATGGGCGTCGCTCCACTGTTCAGCGCACATGAAAAGAACGCCTGTCAGGCCTGCATCCCACACTGGCTGACCCCGCTGCAGCCCACGTGCCAGGTGCCCTCTGGCCTGCAGTGTGCTTAGTCGGTGAGCTCCAGGAACACAGGCAGTACCTGCCCCGGAACCCTGCCTGGGCTGCCACCTGGACAGGACTTCAACAAACTGAATGTCACCCTCGCTTTCTATGGATCAATTTTTAAGCCATAGGCATGATCCCGAGTGTAACAGGCAGATCATCCTATGAGATAATCTGGAAAGAGAAGCCCCATCTTTCCACCAAGAGCTCTGGATTTTACATCCAGCTACTCCTTTCAGGTAATGACGGTAAGTGAATAACCCCACGGCTCAGCTTTCCCACGTGGGCACATTGAGACTCCTTGCAATTGGCACATACTCAGAGCCAACTGGTCAGTGAACATGTCCAGGGGCCTCTAAAAGATAGAACTGATTTCCGGCCTTCACCCCAGGCCTCGGCCTCCCGCTGCTAATAGGTTCTTGAGGGCACGAGCTGGGATTGCGGCGAGTCCCCTTACTCACTGCTACTTAGCCTCTCGCAGGAGGAGAAACGTGACCGGCACAGCTGGCCCTTCAGCGAGGCGGACACTAGCCTGCTGGACTGAGCTCAGACACACGCAGCCTGGCCAGTGCCGCCTCCCCCATGCTCGGCCGCCAGCGCCCTCGAGGGCACCCTTGCTCGCCGTCCACGTGGCCGCAGTGAGGGAGAGGAGTGGCTGGGGGCACCAGGCCTGTGTAGGGTAGCAGACCCGACTCTTCTGGGACCACAGCCAGGACCACGGTTCTTTGAAAACTGCCCGTGATGTTCAAGGGCAGGAGGCCAGGACCTGCAGGATCATAGCCTGGCGGCTCCCACTGTCTGAAAAGGTGAGATCTTGGGTGAGCAGTGTTTCCAGAATCAACCACGCCTGCAGGGAACTCCGTGGACCCAGGGCTCACAGAATCTCAATCGTCTCTTCACGGCGTGACCTTGGGTGACCCGTAACCCACAGAGACTTGGTTCCCACTTTAGGAACCCCGCTGTGACCCAGCTGAACTCCATTCTGCCTGGAAACTTTGAAACCAGTACTTCTAATTAAAGCAAGTGTGAGAATGGGTGGCCGCTGTGAACAGCAGGAGTGCACTGGCCACAGGCCCTGCCTGGCCCCAGGACTGTCCGCTCCGACCTCTCACCTGCTGCTTGAGAACTTCCACTTCCGTTCTCGTGGCCGTGTGGCTGCACTCCACAGGGCACATCCCCCGCCGGTCCCCAGGAGACGAAGCACCCTCGATTTTCAAGACGTCCTGAAGAGCCTGTGGCGAGGCAAGCACACAGCTGCGTGAGCCTGGCAGCCTGGGAGTCCCCGAGGTGGCCGTCCCTCCACGCCCCCAGCAGCCCTCCTCCCCCTGCGGCTTCCCCTTCTGATTTCTGCCCACGGGTCCGTGGTCAGAGCCTGCCTGCTCCCCAGGAAAGCCGCTGCTGGCTGTCCGCCCCTTGCTGCTTGGGGGGCCTCAGTGAAGGGCCCCTCGCCCTGGCCAACTACGAATACAAGACTTGTCTGTAGCCTTTCTGCCAATTCTCGGCCTCAGTCACCGTGTACCCTGTCCCTGGTACTCGAAGCTCGGGAGCCAGAGGTGGCCCGACAGGCCCAGCCCTGAGCCTTGCCTAGAGATTCTGAACCGGGAGCCCAGAGCCCAGAATCTGCACTTCTCAAAAGCTGGTGTGGCTCATCCCAGGTGACGTTTGGGGGGACATTCTTCTGTGTAACCGTCTCATGTCCCCAACAAGAGAAGGAACCCCAAGGGAAGGCAACCCCTGCGGACTTGCAGCCCCTGTAGCCCCTCGCCCAGCCTGGCCACAGGCAGGTTCACTGTCAGAACTGCTGAGGCGTCCTGGGGAGGGGGTGAGAACTGCTGAGGTGGCCACGCTGTGTCCCACCCACACCGCGCCCTAGCTCCGCAGCCCGGGGGGGCGCCTCTCTCAGGTCACAGGGAGGTGTCCCCTCCAAGCTTGAAGGCCCGAGGTTCACACGGAGATGAGTTCCCAGGACTGTGACAGAACAGGCCTCGCCTCGAGGCCCTCAGGACACACCACTGGTCACTGTCCTTCACACAAGGGCGCTCCCACCCACAGGGTCGCATAACCAGCAAAGGAAGGGCAAGCCTGTGGCCTCGCGTCCCCTGTCCAACCCGAGTTCCCCAACAGATGTCTCAGTAGCTCAGATGCCATCCAGCCTGACGCGAACGTGGCTTTTCAGGAAGTTCTAAGAGAAACAAGAACTGCTCTTCTTCTCAGGGAAGAAATTGCGGAAACAACAAGTTCTCCAACAATTTATGTTTTGTCAGATTTGTGTGTGTGTGCTGGGTATCAGACTCTATCCCAAGCTGCACCCGCAGCCCCGTCAGAGTCTGTATAAAACACGTAGTTCTGGGGGATTTCAGAATAAGTAGACCTTCTAAGTGACGTGGAAGGTAGCACACAAACTCCGGAGTGCGGGACGCCCCGTGACAGCGGCAGCCAACGGGACCGCTCACCATCTACCCGACTGGGTGCCTGGCAGAGCTCGTTGTTTGAATTCCCAGGTTTTCCTACCTTTCATGCTACTTGGGATTTTAGAAATTTTCAAATGAGTCATAAATGAAAGGTGAGTCCAGGAGACATATATGCCATCTTGGGTTTTCCGGCTTCCTCGGATAAACCCCACAACCTATTCTGGGACAGGAGCTTACTATCAGAACCGAGGTGCCGGGAAACCTGCCCACCCCAATGGCGAGATAAGGGATGGCTCAATGAGCCCGCGGGTGGCCCTGGACGACCAGCTTCAGCAGGGCCTCTCACTCCCTCTGGTTGTCCCTGACCCCCCTGTAGGAACTTGGTAAGGACAAAGCCCTGGGGTATTCAAAGCGAGTCACCTGAATTGAGTACCCACAGTGACGGAACTTCTGACAGCCCTGTGAGTGGCTCAGGTGACCTGTCAGCAGCGTCTGCTGAGTGGGGGCAAGTCATGAAACAGGGAGACCCCGGCTCCACTGAGACGGTCCTCGGTCCCCGGTCCCCGGTCCCCCCAATCAATATGTCCAGTGGCTTCTACTTCCCCTACTTCCCGCAGTAGGAAAAAGAGAAGACCCATTGTAAAATGGAATAACATAATGTCCTACATTTCATTTGCCCCGACACTTGTGCTAAGTGAGAAGAAATCTCCCCAAGACCATCACTTTGTACAAGTGGTGCTCCAGGCACAGACGTGCGCAAGGACATCTTTTCTGCCTTTAAGGACCCTTCACTTTTCCTCACTACCCATGAGTAAGGTATTGTACATCACACTGACGTATTATGCTTACTAAATGGTAAATCTCAGGTCCAAAACTGGCTACTGAATACGTCATGTTCTAGTGAATTAAATTTGTTGATCCATCCATTCACGCATTCGCCACTCGGCACATACTTTATGAACTTTCTGGGGGCAAGTCCTGTCCTTGGCACTCGGGTCGTGGCAGAGACCAAAGGGTCCCGCCTGACTGCTGCCTTGGCGAGCCCCCTCCACAGACATGCACTCTGAGACAGTACTCACAACTGCACTGTGGGAGAGATGGGTGTACTATTGTGTGAAGCAAGTTTTCACCTGAAAGTTGACTTTTTCTTGTGATTTTAGGTGAAATGAGATGTACACGTGGGCCTCTAGGTGTGTGTGGCTCTGCCACTGTGCCTGCTGTGCCAATGGACGGATGTCCAGCCTGCAGGAATTCTACCCTCACTGAGCTCATGCTCCGGAGCGGCAGGCAGAGCAGACGCAGGGACACAGAGGCAGCGCGAGCTGTGCCAGGCAGCAGCAGGCTCCAGGACAAATCCCGTGCCCACCAGGGAAACTCCTAGCACAGCCGAAAGGTCCCCGAGGAGGCGACATTTGTACAAAGACATGAGTCTTACTCAGATTAAATTTTCTTGTTGAGATCCTATGATCATAACCACCAGAACTATCAAACCACTAATTTTCTAATTTTTAAAAAAAGTTCTGCTAGCTATGAATACAGATTAAAAAATGAAGTGCAACACATAAACTTGAGCAAAAGAACAGGATTCTCAGTGGCTCCAAGATCTAAGGTGTTTATTTCCCTGTGCCCAGTTTTTTGTTTACCTTCAAATGAAAATTTCCCTGAAATTTATATATTTCTCTTCCCCCAGGAAATTAAGAATTGGTGCATGGAACACACACACACACACACACACACACTCACACTCCTCCTCATCTTCTGAGCAATGCACAACTGCTCCTTTGAAGACTAAGATGGAGCTCGGGTACTGGATCCCTGGCATTTTCCAGGCAGCCCTGACTTCTGCCCTTCCTCTCTGAGAGGTGAGCTGGGCCTTAACCTTGCTATTGACCTTGGGCTTGGCATTCAGCTTACTTCTACGCGTGCACCACGCTGAACTCCACAGCATCTGTCTTAAAGACCTGCCCACTTCCTCAGGAAGCTCCTGTGGTTGCTGAAAGGTGAGTGTTCACAAGCATGCACCTGCTTTATATGGCTCTGCAGACTGAAGGAGGAAGGAGGAGGAGGGGGAGGAAAGAAAGATGTGTGTGTGTTCTCACTGCCTCTGCAGCTTCCATTCTCTTGCCATGCCCTCTGCAGAGACACAGAATCCCAAAGCCTCCTGACCAGGTGGGGCTGAGCCACAGCTGTGCTGGTAAAGCTGGTGTGCCCTGTACCCAACCGAGGCGGGGGCCATGTGGCAGCTGGCTTGGATACGACCAGTACTGGATACTGTCAGTATCAGTAGCAGGACTGTGCCCGCCCCCCAGGGAGCTCTGGCCTCTACCTTGGGGACCTGCTCGGTACCTTGTTAAGGCGTTGTATTTCACATTCATAATGCTCTTTCTTCTTCATCGCAAGAGCATTTTTTTCCTTCAAAAGCTTATTCTCTTTCTTCAGTTCCTGTAATTCTTCGTTTAGGGTTTCCCTTTCCTTTGAAAAGAAAGAACAAGGACTTCAGGACACAATCAAAGTCAGCAGGGAGGATAGTGCAAGGCCCTGTACCTCAGCTGCCTGGCAGACAGAAGGCTTCCCTCTTGGAGAAGTACAGAGAGACCGTGATATTGCCTTTGAGCATCTCCTTCAAGCAGTACCCTTGGATTGAGGACAGCATTAGGACTGAAGATAATTTTTCTTTATCAAAACTCAGTGCTACTTCTTAGAAGTTTGGTGACCCCAGAAATCAAAATCCCCAATCTTCACTTTTCTTGGTCAGATAAACGGGTCTGAAGAATCATCTAGTTCCCATTACTAGGTGATGGATAAGGGACTCAGTAAAAACATTCACAATTCCAAAAAAAAAAAAAGAAAGAAATCATGCAACAAAACAAGATATCAAGTATCTCAAAGCCCAGTCCTGAACCAGGCTGCAGCAGAGAGCAGGAAGAGCAAGGGGATTCAGGCAAATAGAACCCTTTGCTCAGAGCACCTGCTGCCATTGTTGGTTTAAAAGGCAGCGATCATGGCATCTGATGATGGTCACAAACCACGTTTTAGGCCATCACCTGGAAGCATATTGTTAGAAATAACTGAAGATTCACTTTGAAGGCATTAACGGGCTCTGGACTTAAACAATGTCACCTACTTCTTAACTTTACACAGTAAATAGTAAGCCTGGTGTGAAGGAAATTGGCTGAGAATAAATAAATATTGCACAATATAGGTATCTCAGGATGAGAAAATAGGAAATATATGTGCCAAAATGTGTGATTTTAGTCATTGGTGTTTCCCAATGCAATTCTTAAATTTAAGAAACATACTTTAGGAAATTCATTTTCTTTAAAAGTGAAAGTATTTCTACTTGATTTTATTTAAATAGAATGGGCCAATACACTTGGAAAATGAACCAATCAAGAGAAAATTATTTTAACTAGAAAATGGTCGAAACTCCAGAGGCAAAAGCTACTAAGATTCCTGGTCAGGTGTCATTGGCAAGGAAGCCACCCACAGCGGGGAGAGGAGCTGCCAGCCCAGTGCCCGGGGCATGTGGCAGAGGTCTCAGCCAGGTAGGCAAGGCCAGGAAACAGGCCAGGGCCCCTGGTGTGATGGTGACTTCCCTGCAGTATCTGCACTGCTGGTTTTTGTTAGTATACCTAAAAGGAGAAGCTTAGAATTTAAGATTCTCCTCTCATCCTCTTAGTACCCACGAAGTCCAGTAACTGTAAGAAAAAGCAGGAAGAAACAGAGTCTGCTTTAGGAGGAACCGCCCTCTGGCCTGAGGCATGGCACCCTCAGCAGGACCCAGGGAGCCCATTTCTGCAGGCCCAGCGTCGGCCTCTGGCCTGGGCTCCGTCTGCTCGCTGGCTGTCTTCTTTTGTGCTTCTGGGAATGGAAGTGCCGCAGCAGGCTGGGTGCCGGCCACACGGGGACAGCTTTCTCGTGGTCCGTGTGGCAGAACAACGGGTGAGAACGTTCAGTGAGACATGAGGGCGAAGCGCTGTGGAAACGCACGGTACTCTGCTTGGCGACAAGAGGAATGCCCCCTTGCACTTGCGACACCGAGAAGCGACTCGGCAAGTGCAGCGGGTGGCCTTGGCGCTCCTCTCCGCCATAACAAGCAGAGCCCGGGGACAAGGGCAAAGATGTCTACTACGGCCTCGGAGACGCGCAACCGCCACCCGACGCGGACCCCGCGGGCGCCCACCTCTTCCCGCCGCGGGCCCCGGGCGGCGCCACCCGCGCTCTGGCTCCGCCGCTCGCACTCCAGCTCGCCCAGGGCGCCCTCGGCCGCGCGCAGCCGGGTCCTCAGCTCCGCCACCTGCGGAAGGAACCGGCAGTTTCAGACCCCTCCTCGGCACCCGAGCCCCGGCACCCGCTCGCTCGGGGACGCGAGCGCCCCTCCTCAGCGCGTCCCTCGCGCGCAGCAGGATGTGTGCACTTTAGAAAGAGCTCGGCCAACCCCAAAGCAAGCACCGGCCTGGCCCCGCAGCCTCCCGCTCTTCCCTCCTTCCTCCAGAATTGGCCTCAGCAAGGTGTCCTACCGCTGCCGCATGCGGTGGGAGCATTCCCTTGCACCTTATGAATTTGGGTATAAAAAGGGGGAAGAGAGTAGCAATGTGGTTGTGGTCTAGTTTCTTAATTCCGAATTCTTTAGGGGATTTACTTTCTCTTTCTGGAGATTGAGTGGCTTTCAGATTACAAATTGATTTAAAGGAGATTTTCTCCAAAAAGTTGCTTTCTCACCAAAGCCAAAGCTTCTCAACAGCGCAGTGGCTTACAGGGAAGGGGAGGGCCCTTTGTCTCCTTATGGAAAGAATTAGAGGCTGGTCTTGCAGAGCACAGCATGAATTTTAGACGTCCCTAACAGACCCCACAGCCTGCAGATGCACTGATGGCTGCGAGTGACCCCGCTGGGAAGCAGGACACATAAGCACACTCTGGGGACAGCACTAGAGGTGGTTCGTAGCCCATTTTTCAGCGCTGCCCAAGGCGCTCCACCGCAGTGCTCATTCCTCTTCAGTACCAAGAGGCCAGAGGTGCACCCAGCACCCTCTCCCCTCTGCCTTCCACAGAAACCTTCACAGCCGCAGCCTCCACATGGCTGATCCCGACCAGGTTAAGGAGATGCAGAGAGCCAGACAGGGTGCTTACCTTTCTTTCATACACCTCCTTCATGCTTCTAAACTGCTGGTCCCACTGCTGATTGACTTGCAGGAGCTGAAATTATTAAAACCTAGTGAGTCAACAAAGGATTTCTACCCCTTTGCAAATTTGGGCAACCCTAGAATCACTTTTTGAGGTTACAGAGAGTGGAAAGGCAAAAGTGAACAGAATAACTCCTTCCAGCGAGTTCTGTGTGGGCTGGAGGACCTGCTGCTCACTCTCACCTGTTCCTAACTGGTTCACACAGGGAGACCATTAAGTCTGGGTGTATCGCAACCAGCCCGCTAAACAGCACACCAGCCAGCTTTAACTGTCTCATATGAACTTTCATCTTCTTTGTTTAATTCAATCAGAATCTAATAAAAAAATATGATGTTGGTGGTTTTCTATAAGATCTACTAATGTGTGAAGGGTCTTTTCACAAACCTTTTCAGATTTTTTTATGTATATACACTGATTATTACAGTGAATTATTTTTCTAGCTTTAAAAAAGTTTATATTGAAGTCTGTACCATTAAATGATAATCATTTGTTTGCAATAGTATTCTTTAAAAGAATAACACATGATTTGTGATACATAATCATTGAATGGATACTATCATATTTTCAAAAGTATAGATTTTTCAAGGAATAAGTTTTGCTGTAAGACAATTTTAGAAAACTCTTTAAAGGTTTTAAACCTCTGTGCTAATTAGAAGACAACACTGTGACGGGTGTTTTAGTTTCCTTGTAGGGAAATTTGCAATCTGCAGCACTCATCAATATAAGAAGATAGTCACAAATGACAAACGGAAATAGCAAATCTGTCACCTAGGACAAAACAAAATACCGAACCCAGAATGGCAGTTCCTAGGTAACTCTTTTGGTGGAGATAGATATGCTATTTAGTTCAGTTCTATGTATATTGACTAAAGATGCCTGCTTTGTTAACTTTTTATGGATTAGCGTTACTGTGCTGTAGCTGCATTAATCTGCTACAGGTCAGGAATTTTCTATGTAGTGTCAAAGAGGAGTAGATGGTACCATAGAAGAGACAGTGGATTAGGAGAGGAACCGCCAGGTCAGCCACAGAGGGAGCACTACATTTGTGACACCGTTCACCTCCTCCTCTGTCAAAAAGGGTAAAGAGGTTCAATGCTCACTGAACTCAGGAAATAAAATTCAGATGATTAAAAATATCTATTCATCCCCACTAACATTTAAGGAATGAATTTTCTAATGTCAGCGCTCCCAGACCCCTAGCGTTGAGACGCCCAATTCACAAAGTCACACCTTCTCAATCAACTGCACTGAAATCCTTCACATTTGGAGTTTCAAGGTGTGCCTCTTGTGTGACACAGGTCACGAGTTCACATGGAGCACATGGAGGAAGCAGCTGAAGTAGGGGAAAATTAGGATTGTAAATGCTAAATGAGTTTATGACCCTGTCATTTTTTTCATTAGGCATTACGTAAATATTGATAAAACTGTTTTCTTTCAGTATAATGCAATGCAGTATCAGAGAGGTGAACACCGTCACTTAGCAAAGATAAAAGACATGATGCTTGTTCTCAGCACTGACCCATCCCGATGTCTTTAACTAATACAAGTTACCTCTTTTCTCTGTTTCTCTAAGCACCTTATCTTTTGTTCAAGAGGATCTGTCAAATTCTTTCTTCTTGAGGATTGAGCACTCTTGGGGAAAAAAAAAAAAGGATTGAGGTAAAACCATTTGCAAAGTAAATAGGAGAAATACTGTCCTTCACAAACACCCTGTGTTTAACCAACTCTTATATTGTGATTTATAAAAACACTGGATTCTGGAGCTGAGAGGCAGCTCAGTGGCAGAATGCATCAGCACTACAGACAAAAACAGAAACCTTCTCCCATGGTTCCTTCATAAGGACTTGTCGGGGCACAGCTTCACATTATGAACAAGATCCCTTCACAGGAATTGGTAAACAAAATATCCCAACAAATCATAAATGTATCTATATAATGGGTAAACCGGAAGTTAGAACTTCTTAAATTTGAATTTGAATCCCTTTCCAAAAAAATAAGAGTAGAATGACTTACAGAAATTGGGTCAGTTTCAGGATACGTTTTAGACGTTTACATAGTAAACATTTCTCGAGAGTCATTTTCAGTCCTGCCCATGAACATATCACCAGCAAATTCTAAAGAGTGTCTTTGTCAAAAGTCAGAGGGGGCATAGGACCACCAAGAATGAAGACCACAGTGGCCCCTGAAGCACAGCAACTGAAGCCAAAACCCCAGGACTCAACCCCAGGACTGTGGATTCTAGCACGTCAGAGTCGGGGGCATAGAGATTGTCCGGCACTGTGTAACACTAACCAGCTCTTGGAATAAAAGTCTTTAGAGTACAAGTTTGGACTGACAATAAATTATTAGCTTAATGGCTTAATGGAAACATTAATCATATTTTGGTTTTTTTTGGGGGGGTTGGCTATGTTTGTCAAGAATGGGAATATTCATTTAAAGAAAGCACAGAAGTCCCTGCAGCTGCCTGTCATTGGGCTAAATTGTCACTTGCATAAAGGACTGGTTTCTGTGCTGTAACCAAAGAGTCCTTTAGGTCATAGAAGCCGGAGGGTGATGATGATCTGCGTTCAGCCCCTTACCATCAGGGACTGTGGACCACGGAACTGCTCCAGGCTCTGCATGAACAGTTAAGAATATTTTCAAAACATGTTGATCTTTGCCAGAAAGATCAGAGGAAACAGTTCTTTTGCCATCATCGTGGGATTTTGAGGGCTCTTTCATGAGAAACCATTTATAAAGCTGCATTTCCCTGTATTTCCTTACTTCTGACTTGTACTTTAAGGTTTGAGGGAGTACACCTGTGTAGCTGCTGCTCTTTGCTTTACCTCCTTCTTTCTATTTAGACCTGTGTTGTGACTAAGGCCACATTTTAACAGTGAGCTTCTGTGTAAACTTGCTGTTAACCACAAGAAACTGGTTTGGCTGATCACCAAGAGGGACGTGGAAATCCAGGTGACAAGCATGTTGGTTCCTGTGAGTGAGTGACCTTCTCCTTTGGGAGAAGACTTTTAAGAAACGAGATTAGAACTGACTGACCCACTAAGCATCTTGGATCTGGCATGTGCTGAGAGCCAGCCCTACTTGGTGTGTGCTGAGCTGAGCACCCAGTGGTGCAGCAACAGGGACTCTGACCACAGGAGCAAGTCCAGGTCCCCCTGACACAGAGTGCCCCGGACACTGGGTTGAGACTTCTGAAATGGTGTCTCTGTGCCTAACCAACGTCCTCAGTCATCATGGTTCCTAGTAAGTCAATATCCTGCCATCCCCGCTCACACTCGGAAATGTCAATCTGGGGTCCTCGAAAAGCCCTCCTTTCACTTGTGAGGTGGAAAAAACTCTGTGACCATAAAACATCTGTAGGCTCTTGCCTTCTGGGAGTGCAGATGTGGGCTGATTTGTTTCCGTAAATAATTTTTTCTGGAAAAAATCATAAAACACTCTGACCTGGATTCTTATTTTATGAATAAGATACAGATACTGGATTTTCAAAGGGGTCTATCTGGAGCTGGAGGAGCGCTGATTTCTGAGACTCAGCAGTGGTCTTTGTAAGTGGGGAAATGGGGAGAGGGGAGGAGAGGACCCTGGGCTTGTCAGCCACAGCTGTATCTCCAGGGCTTTCTCTGAAGATTAGTCTAAATTTTGCCATGGCTTATATGACTCAAGTGTATATTAAAATATGGCAAAATCAACCAAATACTAAAATTTTGGGGAAATTTCACTTGGATTTGCTTTGCTTTTCAGTTGCTAAAAAGGCATCAGATATTGCAATAAGTGCAAAGATTTCTAATGACTGAGTTCTAGTTCAGAAAAAATGTCCCCCATATGCAATTCCCTATAATATTTTCTACAGAACACGATCTATATTCACAGTGTCTGGGCATTTCTTTCTCTACCATAATACCCAGGCCAACTTCTAGATATTAAAATTTCAGCACTACCCACTTAAATTTCTAAATGAAATATGTGGTGCAGTTTCTCATTATACCTTGGTTATCTTTTATTAAAAAACTAAGAAAGCACCTCCATTCGTTCAGTGTCCATTCACCCACGAGGCCAAGCCATCCCCAGAAGCGTGTTCTTACCTCTGCTTGGTCCGCGGAACTGTCCACAGTGCTCATTCCAGCTGTGCCCTGGGCAGAATGTGCTACGGAAGCTGTTTTCCTGGGAGTCTTGGGAAGCAGCAAGAAGAGGGGGGGAGTCTCTTATGGTGTGTTCAGGGTAAGACCAAAACGCAGAATTGGCAAAGCCCACCCCACCACTAACTCATGGTAGAAAAATCACAATGATCGTTTTGCATTAAAAACAAAGGGAGGTGACTCTGCCTGTGAATGACTCGGAATAAGGCTGATAAGTGCACAGACCCGGACTTTAACTCTCCTCTTCCAGAGAGGGATTTCCCAGGATGTCTCAAGCGGCAGGCTGTGACTAAGCCCGCAGAGCAGCCTTGCCTCCTCGGTATGTAAATTGTCCTTCTTCCTTTACTGGCAGTTTCTCCCACTGCAGGAGGAAGTTCCCACTGCAGAAAGCCTGGGCCCGGGAGCCCTTCCTCACTCGTCCAAGCGCCATGGACTCCGTGTGTCTCCCAGAGCAGTGGGCGACCACGCCATGTTTCCCTGCAGGCATGGTTTCTGGCAATGGGAGTGTAGCTGTGGAACCCAGGAGTCACACATGACGCTCCAAGTGCCACTGATTCTGACAGAACTAAAAGAAAATAATTCATTTCAAAGAAAAATGGGCCTTGCTGGCAGATCGAATCTACATTTGGCAGAAAGGTCGACCTTGGTTCTCAGACTGGCCGTCATTTCCACAGGTCAGGGGGGACTGTCACCAGGCACCTGAAATGGCATCTTTTTGCTCTGATGTTCTGCTTTAGTTAGGGGACTCCTGCCACTTTGTAGCCAGCTCGAGACGGGTACCGCAGGAAGACGTGGGGTGGGAGGTGCTACACAAGTGGACCAAGGCTCCGGGGCTTGCTGGTTGGTGGCACAAGAGGCCAGGTGTACAAACAAGGGAATAAGGGGCCCTGAAAGGAACCCAGGAGCCACCAGCCGGCTCCCCACCTGACGGCTCCTCGGGCTGCCGTGAGGTCTTCAGGTTCACAGAGGACGAGGAACTCCCCAGGAGGCGAGGGGCTGCAGGCCTGGCCTCCCTCCCACTGTCCTGCACTCCCCTGTGCTCCTGCGGCCTCCACATCCTCCCTGGGCCCTGGCACGTGCGGCTCGGCCCCCAGCCCTTTGCCAGGCCGCCCTCCCACCTGGACTTCAGCTTGGGTTCCCCCACCCGAGGGAGTGCACGGCCAGCATTGCAATGTCTATTCCCTGTCCCCCCGGCCATCTGTCCCAGCACTGCGCAGGGCCACCTTCAGCACTCTGCTGAATGAGGGGCCTCGTGACCAGCTGTGCCTTGCTCCACGTTCAGGGGCTCACTGCTGGTCTTGGGTCTGTTTACAAGACGGGCAGGAGTGAGAGGGAGTGGGCTGGCCTGAAGCAGTGTCCACAGGGGCAGGTGGGACTCACTGTCCACTCAGAGCTCTGAAAGCCCACTGACCACCTACACACTGACCTCAGGGCAGGGGAAGAGGCCTCTGGAGGCCACTCTGTGCCAACAGAGGTTCTTTCTCCAGGAGGGGGAAATGCTGTGGTAAAGCAAGTTTCCTCCAAAACACTCACAGACACGCACACACACATAGACCCAACACACAGACACACAGACACATGCAGACCAGACACACAGACATATGCAGACCCGACACACAGACACAGATAAACACAGACATCCACACACACACATAAACCCAACACACAGACACATAGACACATGCAGACCTGACACACAGACACACAGATAAGCATAGACACACACATACACACATAGACCCAACACACAGACACACAGACACATGCAGACCCGACACACAGACACAGATAAACACAGACATCCACACACACACATAGACCCAACACACAGACACACAGACACATGCAGACCCAACACACAGACACAGATAAACACAGACATCCACACACACACATAGACCCAACATACAGACACACAGACACATGCAGACCCGACACACAGACACACAGGTAAACACAGACACACACACACACACACACATAGACCCAATACACAGACACACAGACACATGCAGACCTGACACACAGACCCACAGACACCTGAGGTACATAGATAAACAGACATAGACACACATACACATAGACCCAACATACAGACACACAGATAAATACACATAGACACACACACACACACACACACAGACCCAACACAGAGATACACAGATAAACACAGATATGAATACATAGGCACAAATTCATTGACGTAGATAAACAGACACACACATACACACACGCACATAGACCCAACACACACAGGAAAACACACAGAGGTAGATACATACACAGACACACATGGACCCACACAGACCCACACCCACAGACACATGGGAACACACAGACACACATGGACGCACAAGAGCACACAGGACGAAGGCACAGAGTCGTCTGTAAAGCTCTAGGTTCCCTCCCTCCTCTTCTCTATCGGTCACAGTAACCCAGGGGTTCACAGGGCGGTTTCTCACGGCACCGTCCCTTGCACCAGCGTCTCAGGGTCCCCCTGATGGCCCTCCACTAGGCGGTGGCCTCTGTGAAGCACAAACCCGCACTTTTGCATCCTCGTCACCGTCTGCTGGGGTAACAGCCAACGGCCCCTAGAGCCCTGCAGGTTCTCGCAATGCTCTGGAGAAGCTGCAGCTCAGCTGGGCACAGGGGGCTCCCGCAGACCTGCCAGGAGCGACAGGCACCTGTGGCACCCGCCGGCTCACGCCGCCCACACGGGTGCCCTGCTCTCAGGAGTCTGCTCAGCCTCAGGAGAAGTCTCAGCTGAGAGAACTGTGTCCCCGCTTCCAAGGCTGTTCTGATGACCCCTCATCTCCTGTGTGACTAGAGGGACAAAACCAACCAGCGGGAACATGAAGAAGGACACAAGAAGGAGCTACTGCCACCGCTCTGCAGCTGTCACCTGAGTGCACTCTGCCACTGGTGACGCGAGGGCCTGGGGCTCAGCCTCCGCCCAGCCCTCCTCCCCGGGCTGCCCTCCCTGACCACACAGGTCAGCACTAGGACCAGCAGCTTGACCTTACCTAGGGACACTCCCTGAGTCACACGACAAAGGGAAGAGACTGGCCCAAACCGACACGTCAGTCACAGCGCTCGGCACGGAGCCCATCCCAAACCAAGCAGAGACCCCACTTCCAGTGATGTGTACAGGGGTGTGAGCACACACACACACACACGTTCACATATACACGTACACACGTTAAATGTACACACATCTACACGTGCACATGCACATACACACTCTTAAACACAGAGTTTCATATATCCACGCAGATGTGTGCAGGTGTGCACACGTGTGTGTACACACAGGCAGATATGAACAGCTGGGATGCAAAGAGAAGCCAGAGAATAAGTGGTAAGGACACCAAAGCCCCTGGGAGCTGGAGGAGGCTTTCCCAGCACGAGAGCGGGCATCTGCTGGGCCTCGAGGGGTGGGCAGGGCTCTGGTGGGGTCGTGGGAGGCTCCACTGCAGGCCACCTCACCAGGGCAGAGGGGACAAGGCTGAGGCCCCGGGTGACAATGCGCCCATGTAACTGGAGCAGGTCCACGGGGCATCCGAGGAGGACGGGAAGGAAGTCACGACGGGTCTCCTTGGGGGGACACTGAGGACCCTTGGGCAAAGCAGACTTGTGACGAGTGGCTTTTCAGGACCAGCAGGCCTGAGATGCGTGGTGCCTGTGACATGGGAAGGCCCGGCAAGAGCGAGCCAGTGAACAGACTAGCAAGGTTACCCTGGGCAAGGGACATGCCTGCCACCGCGTCCACCAGGCCCGGGTGGCCAGGGCGGCCCCAGAGCCCCTTTAGTTGCCGGCTGGTCCTCTCTGTGGGGACCTCAGAGCCCCGCCCCTCCAGCTGCAGGAAGCCTGTTTCCTGGTCTGCCCACACAACCTTCCTCCCCACGGGAAGGAACACGTCTCATTTCCCAGAACACAAAGCCTGGAGTTACCTTTCAGGCACCTTTTACCTCAAAGTCTGTGCCCAGTTTATCTGCACACCCTGTAGGCTCCATGCAGACCTGTCCACCACGGCCTCAGGAACCAGGGACTCGGGGCCTCCTGCCGCGCGGGGCAGGCGAAATGACAGGCCTTTTGTCACTGGTTCAGCATGAGGGCTGTCCTGTTGGCTTCCGGGTCTTATCCAGCAGGAGCTTTCTTAGGAGCATGTCCAGTGGTGACTGATGTCTGGTTGTGTCTGGCTGGCCTCTCTGGAAGGCCAACAAGCCTTTTCTGCTAGCCAGACACTAAGGTACCCCAAGGGCTCTCCTGCCCCAGCCATGAGCAGTACAGGGTGAGGCTTTCAAATGTCCTTTCCTGTCCCTCCTCTGCTGAGACCGGCCGGTGGCTGCCCATCTCACCCAGAGCCGAGGCAGACTCTTCCCAGTGGTCAAGGGGCCCCTGTGGCCGGCTGAGCCTCTCTGACCTCTCCTGCCTCCTTTGTGCTCACACTGCTTCACCTCCGGCTGCGCTGCAGGCCCTTGAGCCCCTCTCCTGCCCAGGAGGCTTTCCCCCAGTGTCCACACAGCTCATCTGCTCCCCCACAGGGAGCCACAGTGTGGACCTTGCTGTCGTCCTGTTGGACACCACTCCCGGCCCAGTGCTGCAGCCACCTCCCCTGGTTGTTTCCCCAGTGCTGCATACGACAGAGCACATGTTCCCCACCTCTAGGGTGTGGACGCCACCGGACAGCTCTGTGCCCCTGCTGCCTTTGTGCTGCCTCAGGTGACAGGGCTGGACCCTCCAGACCTCCCTCCCACAGGAACAGACCGTGGCGTAAGCAGGAGACTGCGGGAGACCTAAGGTCAGAGACTTCAGGCCTCTCTGCTTTCGATGAACAAATCACCTTTCTTTGCTCCTGGAAACTGGTCTTGGATTAGGGAGATGGGATGGATTATCAAGTTCTTATTTTGATGAAAAATGGTTGATTTAGGTTTAAAAGTAGGGAAAAAGAAAAGAGAAACTAGGTACATTTTTTCAACAATGTGGTTACAGAAAAGCGTGTGTTGCCTTCCCGTAGTTTGCGAGTTTCCCTGTACCCTCTGAGCACACCGGGGCCGGGGCACTCTGAACTACTGAAAGCACTTCCTCTAGGCCCGGGGAGATGGGGCTGTCCAGACGGAGGTTCGCATCCACCCAACATCCTCCCCAGCCCAATCCAAACTTACTCAAAGCTGATATCTGCCTCCAAGTCGAAACCCCAAAG